GAATGGCTCCTCTCCAGCCAGCCCCGCAGGAGGGAAGGTGGATCTGCCGGGGCAGCCCAGCCCAGGGCCTGGCTCTCCCCGCAGCCCCGTGGGGCAGCCCCGCTCCTGCCCGGGTGGGCACAGCAGAGAACAAGGGCCTCTATCTTTTGAGGCTCTGAAATGGAGCCAGAGCAGCCCCGTGGCATCCCTGCTTAGTGGGTGCACTACTCAGAGGCAGCCCAGAGGCCTGGGTGGTCTCTACTGGCAGAACTGCCTGTTAACACCTGGTCAGGCTTCCAGGAGAGTCCCCTTTGCCAGGGCCAGCATCCTCCTGGGATCCAAGCTGCACTGACACCATCCCTTCCTGCAACCCTCTGTCCCTCTGAGAGGGCTCATGACAAGTTCACAGGAGACACAACTGAGGTTCATTTCTGATCACATTTGCACCAGTAGAGGCTTAGGAAGGGCTGCATCCCAAGAAGGGGAAAACTCCAGCTTGTTGTCTGAGGACAGAATAATTTCAATAGCATTTTTTTTTAATTGCTGAGGATTAAATACTTCATGGTTTCCATTGAGAAAAAGATGTTGTAATAAAGTACATACACATTCCTATTGTCACTTCTTTAAGCTCTGAAATATGACAGTAGTTTTGTCCTAAATTTCAGATTTTTCTGGTCTCTGCTTTTTTTTTTCTGTCTCTGCTTTTTGGCCCTCCCTGCCAGGCAGCCAGACACAGTCCAGGTGTCTAGTCATTCTGCTTGATGCATTCTTTGCAGAAGCACCCACCTGCAGCAGGAAGCAGGGAAACCAGAGGGCTCAGTACTGTCCTGCAGCAAAACGAGAAGTCTGGGAGTAACCTGGTGACACATGCTCAAAAGAAACCTCAGACATCTCCAGTGACAAATTCAACATAATCTTTCAAACTCTGATCAAAGCCCCATTAGCTTTCCAGGCTCATGTTCTGTCTGAAAAGGGGCTGGAAGTGCATAAATGTATCTGTAGCAACAAGACGCAAAGCTGTAGCTCCTATTTTTTCCCATACCTACTGACCCAAGTAACCTTGACTACAGAAACAGGCCCTCGTTTGTCACAGCAGGTGACAGGGTAGGCACTATATGAACGTGCCAGCATCTTACCTTTGTACTAAAACCAGAAATCAAAATATTAAAAAGCAAGATCTTCCCCACTGGCCCATTATCTTCTAACTCTCAGAAGCTAAGCAAGATCCTCGGGGTTTGACAAATTATTGCACATTCCCCCTGCCTGTATTTCTGCACTTTCATCTAACAATCTTATTCCTTTCCTGCTCCCCAGCTGAGCTGGAAATTAACAGGCTTTTGCTTATTTGTTACACAGTACAGAACAGTCCAAAATTATCTTGTAGAAATTAGATCATATCATTAAAAAGCAAATACTTATGAACCAGACACCTTATACACTAAAAAGCCCAAAGATATGAAACCAAATTATCAGCCTAAGCATGCACTGTTCTAAGACATCAACTAAACATAATGCAAAGCTACTGTAAAATTTAAATCTTAGCATACTGACTCCATATTCCTTGTGGTCATGTGAATGGTACAAGGACATTTATCATTAGTTTTTACTGTGATTTTCCACACAAAACCAAGCAGAAAGAAGGAAAAAGGAAAACAAGATTTTGTCTAAAAAGGGAAGCCTACAAGGTGTCTGTGTGGCCTTTACACTGAGGGGAGAAATAAAACCTCTCATTTAGGGAAGGGATTGGAGCAGGCAGGGTGGTTACCCACTGGCAAAGGTGGCTCCACAGCAGAGTGTTTCCACTCACAGAAATGCAGCGGTGGTTGATCTGCCCTGCATAAACACCACCAGTGTGAATGCACGTGGTTCCGTGCAGAGGAGAAGGGGTGTGTGTGAAAATTAAAGCTTTCTTGTCAGAATTTTCCAATCTCAACTTACTGGTGTTTATTTGCACTCTAAAATTATCAAGTAGAAAAAACCCACCAGTATTCCTCACCAGGGAAGACATAAAGCAGCAGTTGTTGTTCCACATCCTGTGTATTTGCTTGTTGTTTCTTCAGGCAAACTGATGCAAGGCAGGTTTTGGGTCAGTTTTAGCACCAGGAATTTTCTCAAAACTCAGATTTGACAAATGCAAGCAGAAAGTTTTCTCTCAGATATAATACAACCAGGTTTTATTTAAGTTCTCTCTTTCCCCCCCCCC